GATGCCAATCACTAACATCCATCGACGTCTTGGATGATGGGCAGAATTTTTCGAAGGGCAGTTCAACTGGCCTCCTGCTCCGGCAACATGGGTCAGACTGTCCTGCCCTCCATGGCCGGTGACGACTGATCCACCAAATGAGACGGAAGTCCGCAAGGAACTCCAACTCTTGAAGCGTTACAAATCACCTGGCCCAGATGACTTACCTCCGGCTCTTTTTAAAGATGGTGATGATTTTCTGACAAAGGAATTGACGACGTTGTTTACAAAGGTTTGGGAACTAGAGAGTGTACCAACGTCATGGAATGAGTCGATAGTTGTCCCTATCTTTAAAAAGGGTTCACGTCGTTCCTGTAACAACTATCGAGGGATAAGTCTACTTCCGATTGCGTCCAAACTATAGGCTTCTGTCATACTTTGTAGGTTGTTCAAAACCCGAGAAAGATTGACTCGCGAGGAGCAGGCTGGGTTTCGTTCTGGTCGAGGATGTATTGATCATATCTTCACCCTCCGCCAAATGTTAGAACACCGCCATACTTTTCAAAGGCCAACAATCGTAGTGTTTCTTGACATCAGGGCTGCCTTCGATTCGTTGGATAGGACTGTTCTCCGGGATTGTCTATTGAAGAAGGGTGTGCCTGAGAAGTTTATTAATATCCTAAAAGCCCTATATACAAACACCTCAGGCAGAGTGAGGGCATACAACCACCTCTCTCCATTGTTCCATTCGAGCAGTGGGCTTAGACAGGGTTACCCAATCTCACCATTTCTCTTCAACTTTGCCATCGACGACATTCTGGAAACAGCTCTGATGGATGTAAGTAATGGTGGTGTGGATCTGTTGCCTGGAGAAAGACTTCTCGACCTTGAGTATGCGGACGATATTGTCTTACTGTGCGATAATCACCAAGGCATGCAATTCGCGCTTAATCAGTTGGCAATCAGTGTCTGTAGGTATGGTATGTGCTTTGCACCTTCGAAGTGCAAAGTACTTCTACAAGACTGGCAGGATTCTAATCCTGTACTCACCCAGGATGGTGAGCAGATAGAAGTAGTCGAAAAGTTCGTGTATCTGGGTAGCTGCATAAGTGCTGGTTGGGATGTGAGTGATGAGATCGATTCACGTATCGTGAAAGCCAGAGCGGCTTATGCCAATCTGAGCCACCATTGGCGCCTTCGTGATGCTAGTCTGGCTGTAAAAGGTCGGATCTACAACGCGTCGGTGAGAGCAGTTCTGCTCTATGCTTGTGAAACCTGGCCTCTCTGAGTTGAGGATGTTAGACGACTCTGTGTTCGATCATCGCTGTCTCCGAAGGGTTGCTGACATCCAGTGGCAACACCATGTCAGTAATGCAGAGATTCGGCATCGTGTGTTCGGGCACAGAGACGATAATGCAATTGGTGTCACCATCTTTAAACACCGACTTCGGTGGCTTGGACATGTTCTACGAATGTCGTCCCAGAGAATTCCACGTCGTGCAGTATTTGCCGACTCTGGGACTGGTTGGAAGAGGCGGAGAGGTGGTCAGTGCATGACATGGTGCCGTGGCATTAAAGAAAGCTGCAAAGGACTGGCTTGTGTTGGTCCTTCACGACTCCCTGGTTGGAGTCCGAGAGATGGTGCGAAATAATGGTTAGAAACGTTATCAAATATGGCTCAGAATATAAGCCAGTGGCGATCCTGCTGTAACCTTTTACTTGTTTCATAAAAAGTGGTTGTGTCTCCCTTAACTGAAAGATTTCTTCTGATTGTACCTTTCCGTTCCCTCATTATTACTATTATTATTACTACACTACCTTACACCAATCTCTTCGTTATTGTTCTCTTTTTTTACGCTCCTTACCTTTTTTTCTCTTCGAATTCTCATTGTTTTGTGTGGCGCATATATATATATATATATATTGGCGCTCTCTTGTACCAATATTTATGTGTTCAAATAAATATATAAGTACACATATATTTGTACTTAGTTACGCCTGTTATACATCGTCTAGGAGCATAGACCGCCCACCAGCACTCTCCACCCAACCTTGTCTTAAGCAATCCTTTCCAGTTGCTATTCATCCTTTTCATGTCTGCTTCCGATTCCTGACGCATTGTACTGTACACCCTTCCTTTTTTCTGTTTCCCTTCAGGATTCCAAGTTAGCACTTGCCTCAAGACGCAGTTTAATGATTTCTTCAATCTGTGTCTTATTCACTTCAAACGTCTTTTCCTAATTATCTCTTCAACTGGAAGCTGGTTTGCCCATTTCCACAGAATGGTGTCGCTGATAGTATCCGGCCAACGGACATTGACTATTTTACGTAGACAATTGTCTATAAATACTTTTACCTTTTTGACGATGGTTGTGGTACTTCTCCAAGTTTCAGCTCTGTACAGTAGAAATGTCTTGACGTTCGTATTGAAGATTCTGACTATGATGTTGGTTGACAGTTGTTTTGAGTTCCTTATTTTCTTCAGTTGTAGGAATGCTGTCCATGCACGACTTTGCACTGTAATCTGTATGATGTTGACGATTTTCTCGAGCACTCCATAGTGTCGTAAAAGTTTCCATAATGTACTTCTATACACACTGTCAAATGTTTTCTTATAGTCAATGACGTTGATGTATAGTGACGAGTTCCACTCAGATGATTGTCCAACGATGATTCATAGTGTCACGTTGTGGTCTGTGCACGACCGGTCCTTACTGAATCCAGCCTGTTGATCTCGAATTTGGGCGTCTACTCAGTCTTTCATCCGGTTCACAAGCACTGTTGAAAACCTTTCCTGATACTGACAGTATTGTGATGTCTCTTTATTTTTCACATTTTCCCAGATTTCCTTTCTTTGGTATCTTGATGATGTGTTCTTTTTTCCAGTCCATCGGCACTTGTTTTTCCTTCCAAATGTTCCTGAATACGACGTGGAGCATGTTTGCAGTTAATTCTGTGTCCGACTTCAAAGCTTCAGCTGGTATATTGTCAGGTCTTACTGCTTCCCCACTTTTGATTTGTCTCATGGCCACCCTGATTTCTCCGAAAGTTGGTTGAGTGACATCTATAGGAAGGTCTGTAGGTGAAGGTTTGGTGTCCAGTGGATTCACTAGAGCTAGTCTATTCAAGAGTTCCTCGAAGTATTCTAGATATCTGTTTCTCTGTTCCTGAATTTCGGTGATTGTCTTACCCTCCTTGTCTTTGGCCGGTCTCTCTGGTTTACTATATTTCCCTGGTAGTCTCTTCGTTATGTCACATGGTTGTCTCATATTTCCTTCTCTTGCAGCTTTATCTGTTGTCGTTGCTAGCTCCCATGTATTTTTGCTTGTCGGCTTGTCAGTTATTGTACATTTTTTGTCTCCGTCTAACGTGTACTCTGATTGGTTGTCTGTATTCTATACAATATTCACTATACATGGAGATTGAGTCACCCTTTATTCACTGATTTCTACTGGAACACCAATTTCCATATTCAGTGCCTTCTTATCGTTCTGCTGTTCACATACACGTGCAAAATATAGGAATGCAAAAAGCATTTCTTATTAACTTTTATGTTTTACGTTGTACTAAGGTAATCAGTTGATGGAATACATTCAGGTAGTGGAATACATATTTTTTTAGTACCACACAGTCGTCATCATGCAGTCAGCGCATTGCATCACTTACAATCCCAAAGTGGTATCGGTATTACTGATGCAAATGATAGTCTTCCTCACGCTACGAGATGTATATGCTTGCTCATTATTGTTTCACAAGAAAGCGTCTTTTATGTCCGCTTATGCAAATAATCCACCGGTACTATTTTTGACTGTGTAACACTCCATGAAGTTGTTGGCGTTCTCACATCTGTATGGCTAGATCTAGCATACACGGAAAATATTTACTGTAGGTAGTAAAGGATTGAGTCGATCATGAGTTATCTCTAGAACAACCAATTGCCAGAAAAATCACACGTAACGTGAAGTCTTCACTACTTTAAGTGTAATAACTGCTGATCAGTCAGAGGAACAATCTTAGTTACTTCAACTTGAGTTTGGACGAACTAACTGGAGTAGATAGTCTTACAACAAATGGCTGTATTTCATGTCCCGGGGAACCTACTTTCTTAAGTTGATATTAATTATTCAACTTCAATTCAAAGGTGACGATGTCACAGAATCAATCAATATGAGACTAAAAGCTGCACTGACAAGAACTTATTCTGCAGAAAAATTGATTGTCCTGTCCAAAACAACATGTTCTTTGACACAATCAAAGGTCGACAGGTATCCCCTTCATGTTACTAACAACTATGTATACAAATTCACATGTATCTGCAAAAGCAGTTACATTGGTAGAACAGGAAGGAGAGCCTACGTCTGATTCAAAGAACATATTCCGAAAAGTTTAACATCAAATGGATTGAAAGCATTCAACAGTGCCATCGCAAAACATCTCCTTGACACAGGACACGAAGTCGATACACTGAAGTCCTTCAAGGTGATTAGTAAACAATCAAGCTCCAACCTTCTGAAATTTGCTGAAGCATTAGCAATCAAACGTCTAAAACCAAACCTATGTATACAAAAAGAGACAGTAATCAACCTTTCTTTACCCTGGTGACAATAACCCCTTTTTTATTCATTTATTTCTCTATTTATTTGTTGCGTCATTATCCCAACTCTTTTAAATTACATCATACATGACTGACTGATTTCAATTCATATTTTCTTTATTACCATTAAACTATTTTCATGAGTTCTAATCACTATTTCAATGTTCCGGAACTTTCCCTCTCAAACTCTATTGGAGACAAAATTTTATGACCTCATTAACTCTATCGGAATCTTCGCTTCACCATGATACATATATTCATCTTTAATCACCCTCTTATGTATAAATATGTCAATATCTGTAGTAATTTTGAATTTCAAATATTTTAGGTTGTAAGCAGCTGATGAGAACCTAACGAGATAAAATGAATTCATATTATTCTGCACCAATCTTTGTTCTTGCTCTCTTTAAAGTCGGAAACAGTTGCGGGAAAATAATATAAATTCATTTTTATCTCGTTTTTTGTCCGTTGCTTGCGACGGTATACGTATTGAAATTTAACAATATTAAATTCTAGGTATTGGTAAATTAAAATTTGAGTGACAGGGATTATCAGTGCAATATGTACATTTGTGAATAAACTCTATCTACTTCGGTTTGGGGAGTCAAGTAATATCTCCAGGCCTCACACATGGGATATGGTTGGAAGCCGACCATATGTATCTGTGCTCAGTAGCGGAGTTACCTCATCATGTTTAGTCATTTGAAGATAGATACAGAAAATATAAAGGAGATAAGACTGGTTCTTTAGAGTTCTAAAATTAACGAGGTAAAGAGAGTAATAGCCGTAAGTCAGAAGTGCTTACGTAAGCTTTGGAATCGCGTGAGTGTGAAGATACTTTTAAAGTGGATGACATGAGAAATACCTAGGTGAAGATTATATAATACACTACAAACAATCATAGCAATTAGAGACAACTTAGTCAAAATTATGGATTCAGTTTGCTCCAGCGAAGTTTAAACAGGATGTCCTTTACTTGTTGATTACTTAGGGGGATTGTCGTAGGTGGGTCCCGCACAAATTATCAACGTTCGTATCACTATCCGTAAAATAAAAAAATATATTTTAAAGCTGAGTATATAAATCTAGATCCTGCTGTTGAACACCTTTAAAGTGAATTAATTAACACATTGTGCATGACAAAGCACCTTATAAGAACAGGTAGAAGGGTATATGTCTTTTTCTAAACACATGCCAAATAATTCGAAAATTAAAGGTGCATAAACACAGAAGTAGCTCGAATTTTGATTGGTCGGTCTAAAGTCAAGTGGTTTAACCAAGCAGTTACATCCATGCGTAATAACTGTGTTCCATATACTTCTGTGTGAATATTCAAACACTCAGTAATGCACAGTAAGAAGTTATCCCTAAAGTAAATTCCAGTGAAACACGTAACTGTGTAAACATTTTCTCATCAATTGAATATCTATATATCGAAATAAACTACCAGAATTGATACGTAAACTTTTGCTGAAGTATAGCCTCAATTTAAAACTAAGTATTGTATATCCATATTTTACTTCTTACGACTTGAATATGGGACATTTATCTATCTATTACTTAGTAGTGACTAGAAGTTTCAAGTATTTATTCAGAAAATTTCGGTGAATATACTAGCTTTCCCTTAAAATGATTAATTAATGTATAATGCTCTTGAAAAGAAATGTAAATGATATCATTCATCATAGATTCGACAACCTGTAGCCAGTGAAAAATTTATAATTTATCTTAGTTATATGTGTTGAATATCTAAGTTTACGCGAGGGACTGGTTTTACTGTGCGACTTTTTCAAAGGTCACTAGTTATACAACACTGATAAGTTTCTAATGAATAAAAAATTGATGATGAGTTGTGAATAAATAGAATTTTATTTTGGGCAAACATTAATAATATTGAGCAATGATTAAAAATGTTTCCAAGTTTTTGCCTTGTTCATCTTTAATGAAGGTATATATCTGTTCCGAATCCACTGTTGCTTGTGGAATAAAATGTAGTCCAATCTGAACCGTTCCTGCTGCTGGGATTTCCATTATGGATTCCTAATTTCGGCAAATCCCCATAATATACGATAAGAGTAAAGTGTGGACATTATATAGGTGTCTATGTATTACTGTTTTCATGAAAGTCAAGATATGTATAAAAAAGGCAGTTGGATGGGAAAAAGCACACTAAGTAGATATAATAATGTTCTGTTGAACGATACTTTTATGTCTTCTGGAAGATATCAGGCTTCCAGATCAACTTCAGGGAAACATTTTGCTAGAAATCAGTTTTTTCTGACTTCAGTCTACATGACTTGAAATCAATTTCAGTGCGTATATCTATCCATTCTCTTCGTTTCCATAAATCTTGAATTTCAATATTTCTACTTTTATCCCCTTGTTATATCCTTTCTTCTCAAACTACATTCTCTGTATTAATTCTTAACATACTTGATACTGCTATTATCTAAACGTTTTTGCCATTTTTGCAAATCTCATCTCGATATAATATGAAGAGATGAATCGATGGCAATTTTCCCAGAGGCTTATTGATTCTGAGTGACCAACTATACTGTGAATTATTGAATATATTTATGAATATAGTTATGTCCAGTTATCAACAAATCATTAAATCAGGGCTAACAAACAATAATAACCTCCGTTATTATTTCACTTCATGGTCTATTTAGTTTAGGAAGCTTACCTGTACTGATACCATTGTTCTACAGATTCTTCATGAGTTCGATATGTTGCAAACACATAAAAATACAAATTATGAGGTTCATTTGTTAAAGACGAGCATGTTTTTTAAACAAGAGAGTATCGACCATAGTTTTGGTTTGGAGAAGTATTATTCATCCGTTTTTGTAAACTGGCCAAAGCGGTCGGGGAATTAGAAAAGGCGTACTACTAGTCATCAATATATAACCATTTGGCTTAACCTTGTGTAGAAACGTCTAAAACTTCGGCTAGTGCCCGTGAAACAAACATAGCTTTTTATATCAATATGTCCATTTTCTGTTTCATTTATTTTTTGTCAATAATATCGTCAGTATTCCTTATTCTTTTGGTTGTATTCTTAAATTCTTTATGTTGTGCTTGAATGAATTGCAAGGACTTTGGTAACTCATTGTGTTGTATTACGGATTATTTTCCCTGTGTGCTTGTATTTTATGCAAATACATATATAATGGCATCGACTTCACTATCATTATGCTGAATTTCAAACCCAGTTAATGAGTTTAATTTCATAGGTTAATATCAACAAACGTAAGACTGAAACTGATAAAACAATATGGATATGGCAATTGTGGTTAATAAAAATGAGTATTTTTTGTTCAGGCGTTAACAAACCAGTAATATGAGTCGGAAATTGAGGGAAATGAATTTCTTACACTTGACTGGTTACAATTATGAAGACTGGTTTCATTTGAAGCCAATGCAAAATTAATGGGCATATTACCAAATGTTAAATGTCAAGTTAGTTTTTGCTTACCTTAAATTGAACTAAGTCAGATCGGTTAGTTTCCAGTATTAATGTTTTTTTACATTGATATGGGTTTGTGTAAGCAATACGTTTATTACAAGCTGTACTAATTTCTTTTTTAGGTAATTTTATGTTAAATGACTTTGTTATTTCTGGTCGTCTAACGTCCACACACAGGATCCAAGCGCGTAGTACACGTTGACAGTCAGTGTCCACCACATTGACTTGGTAACTTTTCTTACCAACATACTTTGGACATAGTCTAACCTATATATTTTAAAATAAATTTTAGGTCGTAAAATGTACAATATCTACCATAACATAGGACAAGGATCATATTTATTCATAATAGGTATGAACAATTAGGTACATTTTTACAGAAACATAATCCGAAGAGGAAACTTCACAAGTGTGTCATGTTATATGCAGACTTAATTTGATACACTTATTCAAACGTTTCATTATCACAATAAGCATTGAATAAAGTTAATATTTCTATCAGGAATTTTATTATTAGGAACAACAGGAAAACAATATTTATATAATATTGGCTTCAAGACAATATCACCTATTCCGTCTCACTTGTAGTTATACAATATACCTCGTCATTTCTGTGAAAAATCTCATTGATTCAATGACAGAATCCTGGTCATTTATGAATTAATAATATTTCATGCAGCCTAAAGGATAAATACAGATACGTGAACTCTTAGTGTACGTTAATTGATACTTCCTGGATATCTTGACCGAAGAAAGATGAATAGAATTCGAACCTATGACTTAATGACTAAAGTTTGATTTATTGTACTACTGTGCATGTACTAATTGCAATCACCACTGATACGTGTGGACTAATAGTACATTTAAAGAGGTTTAAATTCCTTGTTACAACACATATTGTAAACTTGTTTTCTTGGATAGTTCTTACCGAGTAACATATATCTATAGCAATCGATCAATATCTTAATGGCTTATGTGCATCCTTTGGATCCCCTCGATATTGCCTTAAGTCACAAGCATTATAAGCAAAGATGGGACTCGTCAGTTGAATTCACCCGCGTTCCAGAGTTGATGTTCACTCCGGTATTCAAACACAGTACCATTGACTTCAAACGCCATCTCTTTATTCACTTAGCTACTGAGTCCTGATAACCACTAGCTTGTGCCTAGCTGACGAGTTCAAAATAGGACTGGATGCGCGTCCTGGATTCCACTGCTAGCCACCATCCATCTTTGCTTCTGATAATGGTTAATAGTTAGTAATCAAGGCTACCATATTCTAAATAATTTCATCAATCCACCTTATGTGAGAAATGAGATAGGGACAAGTGATACCAACCTGTTAAACAATCTTTGAAGTAGCCAATCAGAACATAACCTTCATCTGAAAATTTTTGCTTTCTAGGACTACATATTTTTTTGTTATTCTCAGGGGCTATTCAGCATTATACTAATTCTGTATGGATTTTACTTCTTTGTAATTTAAGCCTACATAGAAAAATGTATAGGTGACCGCTTAAGAGTTGTATTTGAAGATTATCCATAAATTTGTATAAATAAAATGTTCTTCGACAGTACTTGAACTGATAATTGTTGGTGTATGAAAAACTCAATCCAACTGTGTATATAGCAACAATAAAAGTGACTACTGGACTGGGAATCAAATGTTTTTCTAGAAAGTGGTATTATTTCAAGGTCCTATATTACCAAAAAAGATTGTGAACCTTTTAGATTGGCGTTTTAAATGAAAGTTTTATTAGAATAAACTAACCTTTAACTCATAAACAGAACGTGATGCAACACATAATGTTAAATCTTTAACCGGAAGATTTTGCTGAAAATTATTTGAAGTAAATTCTGTACCAATGAAAACTTCATTTGGATGACTAGTGTAAATAGTAATTCGTTTTGAACCAACATTAGGTATACAATCATCTGTACGTAATAACAAACCTATCGGAGGTGATAATTGTCCAACTGTAGCAATAGTATCGACACGCTGAAGTGAATGTATAGCCCAATACCATATATAAGCTGGACGGATTTGAAATGGTTCTACATAAACACTAATAAGAAATTCACGTATCTAAAACAGAAATAAACATGAATAAAACTAATATATCCAATAACTTAATAATGTATAAAACTATATACTGTTCTCTGTTTAGTTCCTCTCTGTATATTATAATATTCAGTTGATAAATCTCACTGAATGTTATCCTAGTAAATATTTGAATGAAGAAGATATATCTTCATCAATTTAAGTTCTTGTATTTTATAGCATAGAAGAAATTTAGGAAATTAGATATTGGTGATTGTAATGATTAACATTATATCTTATTTTAATCAAACTTATTGACTTGTTTTAACACTAGATATCGCTAATTATTAATGGTTATCTCCAAGCGTTTTTCTTTTCCAACGTATAACAGGATTTTGTAGAAAATGACAGTACTATCAAATTTCGAAGGGTAGGATGTTCATGAATAAATCACATTTATTTTTCTATTTTATACAATTGTTAGAAGAATTATTCATCAATGAAAACTATATGTAATCATGTGCTGTTTTCACCCATTGATTGTTTTTCAGGTATATTTTTAAAAATTATATTTAACCCAAAGGTCTTAGATTCCAATATAACGGCAAAATAAAAAGTCTTTCCGTTCTCCACGATATACTGCCACTGTATTACAATCCTTAGACTGGATACTCCATCGTTACATTTTGTTTAGATTGGGGTCACGCTATATACTAGATATATGATTCGCTACCAAAATTATAGAACTCGAACATATGATACTGAATAAAGTAAATCTTATCATTATCATAATTATTTCTTAAACAAATCCAACTGAGATGAAAAATACATAAAATGTGTTTTCCTAGATAAGTGTGTGAAGTATTTCAAAATTATCTAACAAATTAACTAATAATTTCAATTCTTTGACTGACTTGTGGAGATTTCCCAAGTCCAACTTTAATCAACAGATCTACTATATCACCTTGAACATTAGATATAGTTAATACATCTGAATCGGATACTCTAACCCATATTTGCTGATTAACTTGTTGAATTGTTCGATTGTTTGTGTTAAAACTATTTCTCCAATCAATAATATTTCGTGGTAGACGTAGAATTTTCTTCATGAAACTTAATTCAGGATGAAAAAATCGAAAACTATGATCAATTATCGGTGGTTGAATATGAACATGTAGAATTAATTGTGAAATAACCTTCTCATAGGTTGTTGATTTGAAGATTACCTTATTGAGTAAAAGAAAAAAATTATCCATATTTTAGAGAAAGAAATATATTGTTCATCTAGTTTATAGTTTAAAAAAATAATGAACTTATGAAATAAAATAAATAGAGTTTAGTGTAGTTAGTTAAAAAAGAGAGGAGTTGACATGACTTCATATCACCACTTGGTGGTTGTTAAGATGAAACTGAAGCTAAAGAAGCATTGGATAACTGGAGAAACTGCATTACAAAACTTAAATACGGAGTTCCTTTTAGCAAATGATAAACTAAATAAATTCAAGATATCTTTGAACAACAGGTTCTAAACCCTACAAGATCTATTGGATGAAGAGGAAACTGCTATGGAAGACAACTGAAAAGACACAGAAACATGCTCTACGTCGTATTCAGGAAGATTTAGGAGGAAGAACAAGTGCCGATGGACTGGAAAGAAGAACACATCATCAAGATACCAAAGAAAGGAAATCTGGGAAAATGTGAGAAATAAAGAGACATCACAGTACTGTCAGCACCAGGAAAGGTTCTCAACAGTGCTTGTGAACCGGATGAAAGACTGAGTAGACGCCTAGCTTCGAGATCAACAGGCTGGATTCAGTAAGGACCGGTCGTGCACAGACCACAACGTGACACTATGAATCATCGTTGGACAATCATCTGAGTGGAACTCGTCACTATACATCAACGTCATTGACTATAAGAAAACATTTGACAGTGTGTATAGAAGTACATTATGGAAACTTTTACGACACTATGGAGTGCTCGAGAAAATCGTCAATATCATATGGATTTCATACGACGGCATACAGTTGAAAGTCCTGCATGGAGGGCAGCTGACAGACGAATTCCACGTGAGAACCGGAGCGAGACAGGACTGCCTGCTCTCCCCCTTCCTTTCCCACAGTGGTCGACTGGATTATGAAGACCTCGACACTTAACGAGGAGCATGGAATACAATAGGATAGCTCGGGATCAATTAGAAAATTTGGACTTCGCAGATAATCTAGCCCTTCTATCTCATACACAACAAATCCACATGAGGACAACTAGTGTAGCAGCCTCTGCCTTCGTGGGCCTCAACATACACATGGGAAAAATATGATCCTCAAATACAACATGGAGAACACCAACCCAATCACGCTTGATGGAAGAACTCTGGAAGTGGTGGAAAGTTTTACTTATCTGAGTAGCATCATCGATGAACGTGGGAGGATCTGATTTAGATGTAAAGACGAAGATTGACAAAGCAAGGACAGCATTCCCACCATTGAAGAGCATACGGAACTCAAAACAACTGTCAACCAACATCATAGTCAGAATCTTCAATACGAACGTCAAGACATTTCTACTGTACAGAGCTGAAACTTGGAGAAGTACCAAAACCATCATCAAAAAGGTACAAGCATTTATAAATAACTGTCTACGTAAAATAGTCAATGTCCGTTGGCCGGATACCAAAAGCGACACCATTCTGTGGGAAAGAGCAAACCAGCTTCCAGCTGAAGAGGTAATTAGGAAAAGACGTTGGAAGTGGATAGGAAACATTGAGGAAATCACGAAACTGCACCACGAGGCAATCCCTAACTTGGAATCCTGAAGGAAAAGGGAAGAGAGGAAGGTCGAAAAACACACTACGTCGGGAAATTAAAGCAGATATGAAAAGGATGAATATCAACTGGAAAGGGTTGCTTAGAACAGGGTTGGATGGAGAGTGCTGGTGGGAGGCCTATGCTCCTCCATGAGGGGTAGCAGGTGTAAGTATGTAATTAAGTAACGAATGACAATGTAATTATGTTCATACACAGATATTGTCTAATTCATTGTTGATACTGTGAACACGGTTTGTGCATTCTAGAATTTTCATGTATAATAGAATATGCTGTAAGAGGAGTGGTTATTATAAAACAGGTAATTTGCTCGACATACAATTAAATTTCTTATATAACTAAGTTGAATATAAATTATATCAGAGAAACAACTATCCCACTAATAAAATTTGTTATTCTCTTAGAGTTTATCAGAACAAATTTCTCAATATGTGTTATTCTACTTTCATCAAGTGTATAAATTTTCTTTAACAGTGTAAATCGTTCTTTACAAGAATGTATTTAATATAGTTTGAATAGAGATTTATGTTGAAGTGTTTCAATGTTTTAATGCTGAAACGCACTGATCAATAAATATAATCGAATCAATAATCATAGAAACTAGGATACACTGTTGAAGTTAGTTTCTTTTCACGATAGAAAAAAGGCATCTTACTTGTATGACACGTTTCATTTGGACAGGATTATCTTCAACACTTGAAGTAAATTCGAATAGCTGTAACAAGTAAAACAAATTTAACTAATAATCGTACATTATCTCTGTTTTATAAGATGTAACTTATATAAAGTTGATCGGTTTAATTTTATTGAATTGTAAAATCAATTTAGTATTAAACAATGATAATTCCACTATAGATAAACAATATAGAAATTTCACTCTGATATTTATAATTATAATTCGATATTAAAATAATGTTAATAAGGTTTGTAATATTCGGTTGTTCATATTTCAGAGCCTCATTTGATCAGTGTCTGTTAGTAAGTGGCTATATGCACTCAATAGTTAGGTTGGTAACTTATCGGGGTTTGAAAGTGATATATACTAAGTCCACGTTTCACAGTGAATATCAAAACTGGGATTAAAATATATCTAAATAAAATGAAACACACATCCTAGAATTCAGTGACAGCCACAGTCCAAATACAACGAAAAGTTACAAAAGTGTAGGAAGATGAATCTTTGAAACATAAATTGACGACCCATTCAATCACAAATAGTTGATGAAATAACGTTATTAGAGATTAATAATCTGTTCAGTGGAGGCAAGTTGATCGGCTGACAGATTATTACGCTACAGATTGTATTCGTCACAAACTGAAATCATTTGGGGGGTACTGTTGGAAAAATGGAGCCCTGGAAGGCCGCTTGCTTTAGTACGATGAGTACTCACGGTCCAACCAGAGATCGAACTCAGGACTTTCAATCCTAACCGGGTGGATATTCGATCGACTAGCGATAAAGAGCATTGAATCCAAAAATAGTGGTGACAACTCTTTCACTCCTGATATATCTGACTGCTATTATTTCCTTAGAAGTAATAAAATTTTAACCAAAGTTTATTCATTATTAGGTAATTCCAAAGTCTTAGAATGCAATAAATAAACCATTAACTACACCAATATTTGCTTGATTGATATCAAATTATAAGATAGACAGACTGATTCTAGTTATATTTTTTGTAGAGTTTTTCAATAGACTGATTAAAAACTCTCTGAAGCAGTGACGACACAAACTAATGGATAATCAGATTACCTTCCTCAACTAATCAATGTGTAGATCATAGTCTCTTTAACCGTAATTGGAATCAAGTACGTAGCTCAACATATGCCCTTCGCCACTGATGCAGTGCATCTGTTTCAACTAGAAGTACAGTAGAAATTAAAAGGGAAATCTAGAAGAAAACCTCGATGGTGTTCTTCTCATTTATATCTCCGTACTAACATTTGTTGTTATATATATATAACAACAACCTATATATATATATATATATATATATATATATATATATATATATATATATATATATATATATATATACCTACGCCTGTTACTCCCAATGGATTATAGGCCGCTGATCAGCATTCTCCAACCCACTCTGTCCTGAGCCTTCTTTTCTAGTTCCATCCAATTCTTGTTCATTTTTCTCATGTCTATCTCCATTTCTCGGCGTAATGTGTTCTTTGGTCTTCCTCTTTTCCTTTGGCCTTGAGGATTCCATGTGAGGGCTTGTCTTGTGACGCAATTAGGTGCTTTCCTCAATGTGTGTCCTATCCACTTCCAGCGCTTCTTCCTGATTTCTTCCTCCGCTGGCATCTGGTTTTTTCTCTCCCACAGTACGTTGTTGCTAATAGTGTCCGGCCAATGGATCTGAAGTATTTTGCGTAGAAAATTGTTAATAAACACCTGTATTTTCTGGATGATGGCTTTCGTAGTTCTCCAGGTTTCTGCCCCATACAGTAGAACTGTCTTGACTTTTGTATTGAAAATCCTGACCTTGGTGTTGGTTGACAGTTGCTTTGAGTTCCAGATGTTCTTCAGTTGTAAATATGCTGCTCTTGCTTTGCCGATCCGCGCCTTCACATCTGCATCAGATCCACCCTGTTCATCAATGATGCTGCCCAAATACGTAAAGGTTTTTACATCTTCCAAATCTTCTCCGTCAATTGTGATTGGATTGGTGCATTCTGTGTTGTATTGGAGAATCCTGCTTTTCCCTTTGTGTATATTGAGACCTATTGCTGCTGAGGCTGCTGCCACACTGTTCGTCTTCTCCTGCATGTTTTTGCGTTTGGGATAGAAGGGCCAGATCATCTGCGAAGTCTAGATCATCCAACTGCATCTTAGATGTCCATTGTATCCCGCGCTTCCCTTCAGACGTTGACGTCTTCATGATCCAGTCGATCACCAGGAGAAAGAGAAAGGGTGAGAGTAAGCAACCTTGCCTAACACCGGTCTTCACTTCGAACGACTTTGTCAACTGTCCTCCATGCACAATTTTGCAGTGTAATCCATCATATGAGTTCTGTATGATATTGACTATCTTCTGAGGCACGCCGTAGTGTCGAAGAAGTTTCCATAGTGTTGTTCTGTCCACGCTATCAAATGCCTTTTCGTAGTCAATGAAGTTGATGTAAAGTGATGAATTCCATTCAATTGATTGTTCCACAATGATCCGTAGAGTTGCGATTCGGTCTGTACACGATCTATCCTTACGGAATCCTGCCTGTTGGTCACGAAGTTGGGCGTCTACGCAGTCCTTCATCCTGTTTAACAATACCCTGTTGAAGACTTTTCCCGGTATTGAGAGAAGAGTGATGCCCCTGTAGTTATCACACTTGCTGGGATCGCCTTTCTTCGATATTTTGATCAGAAGTCCTTCTTTCTAGTCTTTTGGTACTTGTTCCTCAACCCAAATCTTATTGAAGAGAATGTGGAGTATCCTTGCAGTTGCCGCTACGTCTGCTTTTAGTGCCTCTGCTGGGATGTTGTCCGGTCCTGCTGCTTTGCCACTCTTGATTTGTCTGATGACCATGCTGATTTCTTCAATTGTTGGTGGGCCAACATTGATTGGGAGGTCCGTGGGTGCTGCTTCGATGTTGGGTGGGTTCAGTGGAGCTGGTCGATTCAAGAGTTCTTTGAAGTGTTCTACCCACCTGTTTTGTTGCTCTTCAATGTTGGTGATTGCCTTGCCTTCCTTGCTTTTCAATGGTCGTTCTGGATTGTGGCGATTTCCAGAGAGTTTCTTTGTCGTGTCATACAGTTGTCTCATGTTTCCTTCTCTTGCAGCCTTTTCCGCCGTCGTTGCTAAATCTTCCACATATTTACGTTTGTTAGTTCTGATGCTCCTCTTCACCCGTTTGTTTACTTCTGTGTATTCAGCTTGTGCCTTGGCTTTTTCTGTTCTTGTTCGGCTGGTATTGATTGCTGCCTTCTTGTTCCTTCTTTCTTGAATCTTATCCAGTGTATCAACAGTGATCCATTCCTTGTGATGGTGCTTCTTGTGACCCAGGACCTCATGACATGTTGAAGTGATTGCCTCTTTGATCCCCTTCCAGTTGCTCTCCACAGTAGTTCCTTCTCTATTGAGTAGATCATGAAAGGCCTGGAACTTGTTGCTGAGGTCTATCTTGAATTTCTTTAGTTTGTTAGTATCCTGAAGAAAGGCCGTATTGAACTTTTGTGATATTGTCCGCCCCGTTGTCCAGTGCTTCTTGAGTTTCAATTTCATCTTGGCGACCAGCAAGTGATGATCTGATGCTATATCAGCTCCTTTCTTGGTTCTCACGTCCTCTGTAGTCCTCCTGAACGTTTTGTTGATGCAAATATGGTCGATTTGGTTTTGTGTAGAGTGATCCGGTGAAGTCCATGTGGTTTTGTGTATGCGTTTATGTGGGAATATGGTGCCACCTATGACCAGCTCATTGAAGGCACATAGCTTTGCAAATCTGTTACCATTTTCGTTCCTTTCTCCCAGTCCGTGTCGTCCCATGATGTCTTCATATCCAGTGTTGTCCGTTCCAACCTTGGCATTGAAATCTCCCATCAGAATGGTCAGGTCCTTTGTTGGGCACTTCTCGAAGATTGCCTGCAGCCTATTGTAGAATTGATCTTCAGCGTCCTCATTGTAGTCGTTGGTAGGCGCATAGCATTGGATGATGTTCATTGAAATACCCTCTTTCTTTGTTTTGAACGAGGCTTTGATGATCCTTGGTCCATGAGATTCCCATCCTATAAGCGCATTTTGCGCTTGTTTGGACAGCATCAATGCAACTCCTTGTGTATGTGGTGCATTTTCTTCTTCATGGTCGGAGTATAACAGGAGCTCTCCTGAAGTTAGTCGTTGTAGTCCAACTTGCGTTCAATGTGTTTCACTGATCCCAAGCACCTCTAGGTTGTACCTCCTCATATCTGCAGCAATTTGGAAGACTCTTCCGGTCTCCCACATTGTACGAGCATTCCATGTACCTAGATAAATGGTTTCTCTGGTTGTCAGAAGGGGCATCGGCCTCGTAACTTCCGAAGGAATTCGTCTTTAATCATGAGGCGTCATAATTCTTCTAAATGAAGACCTTATGAATCACAGGGCACAGTTTAAAAGGCTTGAATAATTTTTTCGGGTTAGCGTTTTTTTAGCGAGTTAGTTTTCTGCGGGATGGGGAAGCTAGCACTATACCCAACCCACCTCCTTTATCCGGGCTTGGGACCGGCAGTAGCCCCCGGAGGGACTCCAGGCGGAGTTGTATATATATATATATATATATATAGGTTGATGAATTGGATCAATTTCAATGTGCTTGTTGATTGCTATTTGACTTGAGTGCCAAGCTTCTAAAAATTCTCTGGTGTTTTTAAAGTTGCCTCTCTCCAAGGTCTTAACATTTTCCCAGTCGAATGTGCGTCCACAATTGTCCACATGCATTTATATAAGCGAGGAAATATCATGGCATTTGACCGCTAATGTTCGTGCAGGTACGAACATCAATTAGCTGGCAGAGAACCAAACTCCACTAAAATCATCCGCCTGAGCTAAAAATCTACACCATCTTATGTACAAAATACAAAGTTATCTTGACGTTTAGATATTCTTTATATCGATTAACTTGTAAATTATTAACGTTAAAGTGTTGTTATCTGTCCGAAGCTCGATGCATTCGAATTCCTATTTGTTGCGTCGTATTACAAGAACCTTTAGTCGAAACCCAATAAAGCCACAACGTTAATAATTCGTGTGTAAATATTACATAATTAACTATGTGTAGTGATTAAAACGTTAGTGAGTCTCTCACTACAATTTCATGGGTGTTATTATGTTATGGCACGTACATCTAAAGGCATCAACTTTAAGTGAAAAATACGTGTTTATCATACATCGTACCTACATTTCTGTCACCTACACCATCATATTGTTTAGTATATTGAAACATCGTAGCTTCTTCATATTTCATTGGTATTAATACAGTTTCATTTGGTTTGAGAAATAATATAACATTGTTTCTTTTCAATGATTTTCTTTCAATATTATCATTGTTATTGTAATAGTGATGATTGTTTTTCACATCCAAAGCAAATAAATCATCTTCTGTTGGTGTATCGATATTGAAAGCTAATTTTAATGCACGTACTTCACGTGGATCCATAACAAAGGATAAACTATTTCTATAAATTAAAGTACAAATATGGATAAAAATTGATTGAAAGTTCTCATTCGGACTTTTCTTTAAGATTCATCACAGTATTTCAAAAGTTAGGTTATTGTAAAATAGTCTATCTATTCTATATTAAATAGTATCATAATGGCTATAACAAAGTAATCCGCGCAGAATGCCATATACCAACCAATGCAGATCAAATTTCAGTCAAAACAACAACCAGATAATCCAAACCATTTCAAATTGAATTAAATATCATACCTGTTGTACAAGTTAGTGGCTAGCTGGAGGCAGTAGCTAAGTGGACAAAGCGATGGCGCTTGAAGCCAATGGTACTGCGTTCGAGTCCCGGAGTGAAGATGAACTCTGCAATGCGAGTAAATCCAGCTGACATACCAAACAACAAAATGCGCGTCCTGGATTTCACTGCTAACCACATCCTATCTACTCTGTATTAGCTCATAAAAATGATCTTACAACTATGAAAGAGTTATTATCTATGTTCAAATAAAAAAACGTAAAATGTAAACATGAGTATTCTGGGTTCGCTTGATAAAAAGTCAAGCTAAATTAGTACACTTTACAACATTAGGTTCTTATATGGAGTATAATGAATGTAGCTGGCAGTGAAATCCAGGAACCGCGTTTCGTGCCTGTAGTAATATAAGATGAGTGGTATGGTGATTGAGTCACTCAACACTTCAACTTTTGGGTCACAGGTTCTACTCCGCGTCCAAGCTATGGTCGGTTAATAAGTTATCAAGCGTTATCATTAGGTGTTATCAAGCCTTCAATGCAGTTTATTCGCGAATCTATCAGTGTTCGACTTCTGGTAGAATATTAGCATGGAATTATGGTTTACTTTTTTAGTAGTTGTCAAATGGTGGTGACAATGTTTTTATTGAGAGCAGTGATTACAGTTGACGTCTACGCGAACATCCGTATATCGACGTAAATATATTCCTCAGTAAATAGGAAATTATGTTAGACATGTATCATCTGTCCAAACCGTTGCCCGCATAGTTTAAACTGACCTACTTATTCAAAATGAAACAGTTAATTCTATATTATTATCAACTTACGAATCATCTTCAATGTTCACATTAACAGTATCTTCGATATTGAATGGGTTCTTTAATTGATATTCAAAAAACTCTGTACAACCAAAACTTGTAAATAGTTCATGTTCAATAGTTGTAGCTTTATTGATTAATCGTTCAAATAATTCATGTTTCTTTTGATCTCTATAACGACTAATTGTATCCAACTGTGGTTTACCATCCAACAATAAGGTCTATTATACAAACGAAATAATTGTGATTATTTAGTTTATATAAGATTTTAAAAGAATTCTATGTTTTTAACTACTTTTCAATTGAAGTGAAAAACGTATGAAAATTCATCCTTTGTACTAGAATGCAAGTATTTGTAGTCTTTAAAACTGACCATATGTGGTTGTCTATGATCAGTGTCAAGAATTAGTTGATGAGAATTTTTGAAACGCAATGATAACTTAAAGATTTTGTAGAGCACTTCTTTGAATTGCTTAATGATTTACATTTATTAAATCTTACACTACTATTAGTTACTAGCTTTCATCGGTCTGAAGTTAATGCTTTATGCTTAATTCATTTCTTTTCTAGTTTATATTTAATAGAAGTCTTTCAACACTGAAACATCTTTCATGAAAATTTATAGTGTTTCTATAGCTGTTAGAGGATTTTAGAATTCACATTAGATATATTTAACAGTAGATATTAAATATAGGCCTTAACATCAACTATCCATCTGAATTAATTGTTGCGACAATCTAAAGTACTGCTCACATCCGACATTCCTATACGTAATCCTAGTCTTCTATTCTTTTATTTGAAGAATAGTAGGGTTTTACTAAATACTAAATGTGAACCCTAGTGACTATCTTCAAGAGGAAATTCTTAAAGTGCTAGTGAGAATCCATGACAAGTGGAGGTCAACCATGTCAAGTTTGAAGCAGTTACCCACCGAATACAATGAGGATTGGTCGTAAAATGTCATGGATTGATTGAAGTTCTAAATCAACATCCATTGAATGCTAGCTCAGTGGTCTAGAGTTTAAGCGTTCACGCGCAAAACCGAAGGTCCTGGACTCGATTCCCGCGTGCGGAGTTGTGTATACTCACTATTGAGAAGTCCCACACTATGATGAAACCGTCTTCCAGTGATTCCACGTTTTCAAATGGGTGTTTAATGAAAATCAACAATCTCTACAACTCTATGCTACGAAATACTGACTAGTTTATATTTTCATTAGTATTTCACTAAAATTGTATCTGATATCATTTTTATTTCTTTTTAAACAAATCTTATTCATAATTAATCATTTGAAGATAGCTATCTGATGATATTGTTCTTTAGAAAAATGAATCTAGTTGAAAACTCATTAATTATTCAAACGCAAAAACAATGTTTTCCATTTAAGTTAAGATTCATCCGAAGTATTTGAATATTCTCAAAAAAAAGTATCTAGTACCTATAAGACTATATGATGAATATGTTACTAACTTGTTACGTTCCGAAAGAATTTAATTAATCTCACTTTATTTTAGTGAAAGTTTAGTTATTAGGAACCTTGTCTAAAGCATAATATTACTTGTGACCAAATTGTTTTAATTTTCCACAGAATTTAATACCAAAATAAATTTTTATAAAACTATAAAAGTAAAATGTGAAGAATGTAAAAGATTCAAGGAACAAAGAGAACAATGTTAAACGCCGAAAGTGACTACATGATTCTGTCAACAAGATTTTCGTGAAATTTCATTGTCATTCTACTTAAATATTCAACCATAATGTCAGATTCCGATTAATTCTTAGAGATTTTTATGTACTACGCGAAAGCTGTGTTCAGATGATATGAAATTGCCACCAGATTGTCATCGGTCACTACTTTTAGTTCAATCGACAATTAAATGTTAATTCGTGGATTGGTTGAAGTTAGACATTAACACCGTTGAATGCCGGCTCAGTGGTCTAGAGGTTAAGCGTTCGCGAGCGAGACAGGAGGCCCTGGGTTTGAATCCCGCGAGCGGGATTGTGGATGCGCACTGCTAAAGAGTCCCACAATAGGACGAAACGACCGTCCAGTGATTCCCGGTTTTCCATGGTGGCCTAGCTTCAACTGACCCATGAATTCAATTACTGAAATGTAAATTTTATCAGCCTACCTTTATATTCGACTTTTCAGATAATTTAATATTATCCCATACATTTTTTAAACCATCAACAGATTTCAACGAACTATGTAGACGTTCAAGTTTCTCTAATGTTGTCACATCTTCCATTCCACTCTGATTGTTTACCAATTTATTTGCTTTTATTGTCATAGGTGATTTTTCTTCAGATGCATTAACTACCCTCAACACTCCTTTTAGTGCAATATCAGTTGGTTTAATTTTATGCGCGCGAACTACAATTCCTGTTGTATCATCACTGATATTATTTGATTTCAAAAAATTCATGTTTGAGAGATCCCCACCTGTAAATCTAGTAGAAATAAAACAAAGTATCATAAAATCAATTACGTTTTTTTTAATTTTCCTAGTGCTAAGTTGGATTAATTAACGTCTTGCTTTAAGCAGTGACTGTTTTACATGTCAAAGCAGAGTATAATTTTTTTTACTGAATGAGATTCATTAAGAGCTTCAGTACAATAATTAATCCTTTATTGAATTAATTACTATCAACCTCTATCCCATTATTTCCATACATTACTTTCATTAATGTCAGTCATTTCATTTTTTAAATTGTTATTGTTAGCTTTATTCAGTATTATATTTTTGGTACAATATAGAATTCTCAGCGTAAAGTATTTCAACAAGTTTCCGTTTCTTTCTTCTTGGTCGGTCCTGGCGATAAATATTGAGTGATCACCAGTTAGATGTTAGCAGTCCAGTAAATGAACATCTGAATAATGTACATTCTTTTCGTTGTACATTGCCAGCAACCACATTCTCTCTTTCTGAGCTTTTTGTAACTTTGACAACGAAAGGTTGTACACGTTTCAGAAACGCAGCAGAATAAGTTATGCGATTAATAGACATAATGATATATTAAAACAAACAAAAATAGATAACTTGTTGAAATATCTAGATGGCAGGAACAGGTAGCCCAGATATACAAACGAAATGTTATAAAATTACTTACTTTCTGAAACAAGTAGCATCCCTTTGACTAATTAGATATTTTTTCCGGCTATTATTTCTGATCGTAATTTCTTTTGATATTTGTTCTTTACGATGTCCAATATTTGCAAGTCGCAAAAGCAAATAACCTTGAATATCTGGAGGGCTTGATGAACTTGATTCATCATCAAATACATTGTCGTTTGAATTCAAGATATCCGTGGAGTACGTGATCTGAACAGCTTCACGACCTTGACGACAAAGATGCTTTGTAAAAAACGACAATAATCAGTTAAGATAACACAATTGTGTATACTTGTGTATATTGTCATTATTATACGGGGAAGATTAGACCAGAAATCTATATATTTTAAATAGCTGGGATACTAGCATATAATACAGTGCCATATATAATGACACTAGATGATTATTATGCAGTATTATAAAATGGTCGAAGTCTCAATTATAGACCATTAAAACGAACCCGATGGCTATAAAAGTTAATTGTTCATCACCAGATCAGAAGGTCCGGCATTGGACTCCGAGTGATGTTATGGGCTTTCGCTCCTTAAGAGTCCCATATCAAGATGGAAAGGTTCTCCAGTGTTTCTTTGTTCCAAACAACACCCAAAATAAAATTGATTATTAACAAATGCGAACTACTTATCTCTTGATAACGTGTCTACAGAACACAGAAGATAAACTACGTTTCTAAAACTTGTCGTACAGGATTAATTTTGTACGATCACAACTAATGACATATCTTTAGCCGCTTCTATTATTCACCTATTTGTCAGTACTCATCGCTCAGTTAATTTTCCCGAACATTAGAAGTTTTCAGTATAAAACCATTAGAGGTGACAATGTGAAAACCCATTTATACATGCATAAACAAAAATGACGTATGACAACCGACAATTACGCTTAGCCAGATTGATGTATTACAATTCACAAACAAATGTATTGCTCGGTCAGTATCCAGTGACCGAGATAATCTAGTTAATCTTAAATCAGTTGCAAAAACAAGAGTTAGTTCAGCTGAAAACAGTTGTTTCGAATTTTGACGTCACTAGTAAATTAAATCCAGCCATAAAGTCACATAATAATATTCTACTTTAAAAATTACGTATGAAGACTGGTAAATATAATCTGTACGACAACACTTCGAAAGGGATGAATACCAGACCCCTACTAATAACGACATTAAATCAACCTGAAAGTTATTATTAAAGCACTTCATAATTTAACTCCGTCTGGAGCCCATCTGGAGCTACTGCCGGTCCCAAGCACGGATATAGAAAGAGGGTTGGGCATTGGGTTAGAGACCCCATTACGTAAAAAGCTAACTCGCTAAAAAAACGCTAACCAGAAAAAAATTATTCAAACCACTTTAACTCTGTCCTGGGAGTCAGAAGGTCTTCATTTAGAAGAGTTATGACGCCTGATGCCCCTTCTGATAACCATAGCAACCATTTATTTAGGCACATGGAATGCTCGTACAATGTGGGAGACCGGGAGAGTCTTTCAAATTGATGCACTTCATAATTTAATAAAAGTTGAAGATAAATTTGCCAACCATACTGAAAAATCATGTGAGGCTCATAAAAATAACAAGGCTCATAAAAAAATCTATTTCACTGCATTAGAAACACATTCATTATGTTCCACTGATATTTTTACAGATATTACAGCATTTTGAGGACCAATATCACTAGGTTCAATTCACCTTATTCAAATCTAAGTTATCCTGATTAAATAGATTTCCATTAATCCTTGAATAATACTATTGTCATATATTTCTTCATTGATACCATGTGTGTAAACGAATGCAATTTATTATGTAATTTTCGAACAAATGAATTATTATTGAAGCATAGTTATAAATATTTATGAACACTAACAGAATATCGGTTAATGGATTGATCTTTCAATGTACAACTAATTTGAATGTGTTAGTCAAAGGTCATAAAAAAATTAACTAGCAAAAAGAAACTTCCCAAAAATGTTTTAGTCTACATTTGTCGGTCTTAATTCAAACTAATAAAATTCATACAACTCTATGTAATAGATTGTTTGTTCAATTTGCTTTTATTGAAATGACCTTTTCATTTTCTAAGAAAAATCAAATTGTTTAACCGTCTACGCGATTATCGTAACCAATCGTTGGAGATTCTGATTGACATAGCTCAGAATCGATCAAAATAGCGTAAGTGTATACACTCTTTGTTTTCCCTTAAACCGTGAGATTAAAATTGCTATATACCTTTATTTTTATGATCTAATTCTTTCTTCCTGTGTTATATCCTTATACACAATCTTTCTTTAATATATTACTACTATTGAAATAACTAGTTCTGGGAATTTGATGTTCATCTTGTTGTGCTAATGAGGTGTAGCAACTTGGACTGATGAATATATGTACCTGGTCCTACGTTGCAGTTGACTGACTTAACAATAGTTTAGCGGAATTTTCATACATTCTCTTTTTTTATTAATTATATATGCATCAAAAGGGGATTTTTGTGAATATTATAATAATTTCAATAGTTGAAATCATAAATCAATTGAAGCTTCAAGAGGTATTTCCTTGAGTTCCAGTGAGAAGCAGTGACTAGTGGAGTTCAACCGGGTCTGTTGTGAGACAGTAAATCAATAAAGACAATAATGGATGTGTCGCTCAATTCCGTGGATTAGTTTAGGTTAGATATTAACACCATTAGATGCCGGATCAGTGGTCTAGAGTTTAAGTGTCCGCGTGCGAAACCGATAGGTCTTGGGTTCGAATCCATTTAGGTGAGTGTGCACTGCTGAGGAGTCTCATACTATGATAAAATGGCCGTCTAGTGCTTTTAGGTTTTCCATAGTGGTCTACATTCAATATGACTCATGATATATATGGCTTATCATTACATTTATTTATATTTCCTACATTTATCACTAAGCGCTATATGTTTATAAGACCATTGCGTAACATAAGTTTTGCCCTGAACTAACTTTTACTTACAAGATATGTGATTTTTTCCTTAAAGTTTAAATTGTTGAAAATGTATATCTCAGTTAAATTGTAAATTTACATCATATAAGTACATTTTACGATTGTATGAAAGATTCATGATCTGTACAAACTATAATGAAGTTTCATTGAAAATAATTAATCCAAGAAAAATATTCAAGAAAAAAATAAGAAAAGAAACAAATTACTTTTAATTCAATCATACAAGTTCCTATTAGAATATGAGATTTTGCATTCCATACATCAATTTGCATTGTTGTTCGAAGTAAATAACTAAAAAATATTTCCATTTCACCTGGTTTAAAGTAATTAGGATCAATACGGAAAATTACCTAGAAATTATAATAATGAAAGAAAAAGAACTTCATCAATTTTGATCGTATACATTCAATATTCTCTTAAGAGTATAAGTTAGAAAGTTGTAAAATCAAAGGGGTTTTAAAAAAAAAAAGAAAATTACAGAACTAAGTTTCATGAATGAAGCTACTTAAATCTACTGTGCTTCGATTTCCTTTACAAAACTTAATGACAAAGTGTAAATGACAATTAGATAATTCATAAAATACTAAATTGATCAGTTATTTCACTTTGTAGAAATACTGCAAGTGTAAATTTTGGCAGAGATTGTTGAGTTTAGATTGATATCATGAATAGATCAATCTTAGACCACTATTATAAACCTGGAAGCACTGGACGGCCGTTTCGTCCTAGTATGGGATTCCTCAGTGGTCTAGAGGTTAAGTCCCGCGTGCTGGGTCATGGATGTGCACTGCTGAGGTGTCCCACAATAGGACAAGACAGTTTTTCAGTGCTTTCAGGTTTTCAATGGTGGTCCAACATTGACCCATTCATGATTAACTGACTAGTTAAAAGTAATCGGCGGAATTATCTGCAACTATATGTATTTGTTAATCTGACAATGAGGTTCCTGAAAATTCTAATTACAATTTATCGACTATTAAACAATCTTATAATATTAAGCCTTGGTATTGTATACATGGTAATCAGAATGAATACAAGTTAATGACAGAAATGGTAAACACGATAACAATCAGTACTTTTATGAACTACAAATTACTTTATATCCTGGTGATTGATTTTCACTTTTCCCAATGGAAGAATTTAATTCGATCAACGAAAAAGACTTTTCGCTTTGCCGCTTAGATTTCCATAAAATTCTAAACGAATCACCATTTGGATTAGAACAATCATCAAGAGACTGTCCAATGAATAAGCTTTAGAAAAAAATAATAATGTATGATAAAGTCAATAATAACTTGAACATATTTTTATCAGAAAACAGTAGATAAGGATCACAAAAGTGAATAACAGTGAATTTGGCCATTAGGTTGAGGAAGATTTTTAATTTAATCAGTGATCAAACTATAAATAGATCAAATAATTTCTTTGATTGTGTTGCCTTCTCTGGAACTTCCAGGATCATACTGGACAACATCATCTGTGTTCACGTCAAGTATTAGTATGCTTTTAAATGATTCAATTTGCGTTAACTCAACCAGTTTATATAACCATGTTTTCAACTAGTTGTATATGTACGGTTTGTTATACTCAGATACCTTTGAATTCTAATCGACGGTGTTTTTTAGTTGACCTATTACTGTCAAATACTCAGAACGATCACCCAAAATGCTTAGATACACCAAAACAACAAAACATACTATAAAAAACAATCGAATACAAGATCATAACAACTGACTAATTCCATTCGTTTGAAATATTTTCATACGGTTGACTTTTATCTTAATCAGCTTTGAATGATGTCTCAAATCTTTAACATCATAACTGAGAAGAGGATGGTTGTGACAGATACAAAAGTAATATAACTTGTTTAAAAACAATAAAATTTAAGCACCTTAAAAGAAAGCTGAACTAATTATTTTTACTAAAACCGCATCCAGAAACTTACGTTGATGTTACAACCTGGGGAAACCGATAAAACTGAAAAGTAAAATAGATTTGTTCAGGTGAATGACGATCACCGGTTGATAACGACCTGGATACAAACCTATGAATAAAACAATGAAAAATTAATAGCTGAATATTAAAAGAAATAGTTAACTTGATGTACCTTGTCTGTATCCTGTACCAAATAATCTGTAGCTTTGCAAAATACACATTCATACACAATTTGGCGTCATAGATGATACCACTGAAGGGCTCAGAATGTTATCAAGTATACAACAGACAATAAAATAAATCCATACAACCTGGTCAATAGAATTTGCTAAGAATTAATTACCATTATGTAAGTAATTAGCGATTGCTCAATTTATTTGTTAGTATGTCTAATTAACTACGACATTGGGTTGTCGTAGCTAATTATCTTAACCCTCCGAATCACGATCAAGAAATATTTGAGAATGTGTTCCCTTCATTATTCATCAAACCATTTATCACATTCACCGACTAATAAGGGTTTTTAAGATCAGACAGTTCCGAAATTAGTCCTCAGAGATATAATGTTATTTAGGAAACAAAATCTCATTCACTTTTTCACAATCACCAAGTGAACAGTTGGTAAATCGAATCAAATGCTACCTATAAGTCGTAAATAGTAAAAACTGTCATTCAAACTACTTCATTCAGATCAAGACATTCCTGATTCTGGGGTTTCTATTCACAGCATTGTAATATTATTCTTGGAATAAATATCTTATCTAAAAATTGAACAACCTAATGATTTATAATCTGCAGCTAGTACTGCATATTTAACCACCGCATTTTTACACAAATCAGCCAAAATTTTCTTCTATGAGATAAATAATTGGATACTCGTTGCTCTTGAATGCTATAACCAGTATAGGCCAAACGAACTGAACTGTGTTATGGCCATCCATCTTTAGGCAGATGATCTTGCCCACGTTACAAGTGGTGCAATATAGCAAAATTTGTTCATACTGAGATTCCATCGCATCGAATCTAATCACAGTCGACGGTGTTTATTGTTAAGTTTGATATAAACATAAAGACCTTAGTCATTTTCAGAAACAAATTTGGTTCAATATCAGTAACTGCTAGTATGGATAATTACATGTCTGACGAAGGTATATATATGATGGTATATAACTAATGCACTGAATATCATTAATCCGTCGGTTTGCATGAGAGTAAACATATAGAACGATATTATTCAGAGTTAACGTTATTTCACATGACAGAAAATTGAATATTAGGCTACTGTATCAGTATTTAAAAAATATCGCTTTATCTACGGAACACCTAAATGTTTGTTTCAGAAGTGATTAGTCGAAGACTTCATAAGCGGAGATTTATCAGAAAACTAATAGGCATAAAATGATGTATTAGATCGATCTTTGCTCAAACAATTCCTTTCTCTTATCAAATTAACATAAATGCAAAATGGGTGAGACTATAATTTATAGACAAACCAATCAGACTTACGATAACAGGTCTTAGATTTTGGCGCGAAAGTCATTCACCCATTTGGCGAAGTAGATTCTTGGCATTATAGCTGATGTCAGTTCTTGATGAAAACCCTTAATCTATTTCCTAACCCTAACCACCAACTGTAAATCATAATCCTAATTCTTCAAACTGTTTTAAAACCCTCATGTAGCCCTAGTAAGTAGGTAGACACTCTCAGGGTGACTTTAACGTCGCTCAAAGGTCGTCCATAAAATATAGTCTCACCGCAAAATGTAATGATTGTTCAACTTATTATAATTTGAATCAAAATTACCCAGAATAAGCTAAAAATTGAAAAATAATTTCATTTTGATTTAATAGATCGATTTCTTCTTTGACAAACTTAAATTCATCTATTACATCAGTTTGTGGATCAATTGTAAACGGTGGATCGCCATTTTCCGTTTGAATTGGCTCAAAACCTATTTGTTTAGAAACAACAAAATTCATAAAACTGTTCTCTTTGTTTATAGAAAAATCAACTGAAATTTATTGGAATGCGTGACTGAGATCTATAACTGACTATTGACACTATATAACGGACGTATATCTGAAGACGAAACAAGGAAATGTTTGTGATGAAATGTTTATATTCAGCATCACTCACAAAAGATAACGATAACAAATGTTTAAATGCCTTTATTTTCACAAAGAAAATACCATAATGGTCCGAAGTTTAAAAATAAGTAGTGCGATTCAAATGGTTTACTGACAGAACGTATGAGGGACATCTGTTCACTTGACGAATATGATTAAAAACAGATAATCTATAAAGGTGATATTATAAGTTGATCTCTGAGTATGAACAACTAGATGCGGATATACGGCGATTGTGAAATTAAACAACGCACGTTTACCTGAACGTTTAAACTACTAATCTCAAGCTATAGTCATTTGATAACGATCATAAATTGGGAAATGATTATTCATCCAAAACTATTTGGTCATACATGAGGTGGTTATCTAAATTTCATTTTTATAATCTAAATAAAACAAGTAAATTTTTGGTTTTCGCTCTTTTCTCAATCTGATGTTAATGCCTGACGAATTTCAACTAATATTTACAAACTACTTAATTGAAGTCGTGGTTGGTAAAGTTCATTGGTGTTGAAAGTATAATGAATATCAAGAGAAGTAATGAAAGGCAATCACGCTAAGTCGTCGTTCAACATGAGTAAGAAATATGAAACACTGGGTACAACTTTGTTGTACACACCTCGAGACATTTTAGTCTTGAAGTAAGTCTCGTGTGGAATCGTGGGTGTGCGCGATTCAGGACAGATTTACTGGCGGACAGAACAGCTACACACCATTTCTTGGACTGCAATGTTTTAGCGTCAAACGACTATTATCTTTTGATCGACTTGATACTCACAATCATCTGATAGAATATCAAGAGCTAAAATGGGGACTCAGCTTTCCCAATGCTTATGTTACTCGTGTAGAACGTTACATACAGTGGTTTGTATTACGACAGTTGACCTGAATAACTACTTTAGAAATAATTCGTATCTATTGCATGTAGTATATGTCAATTGAATCCAAAATAATTATCTCGATCTGTCGGAGATCAGAAAGCTGGATGGACATAAATCCACTCTCGTTACGGAACTTCATTACAACAAAATACCAATTAGACTTTTTGCTTAAAAATTTCCCTAGACTTATGTAAACTTCAGTTTCATATAGTTAGAATTTCAGATGCAAACATGAACAGTATACATAGAACTGATTCAAATCATTGTTTAAACCCATTAGGATTTCCGAATAAAGTTACCAACTGGCTCAGATATTAATTTTAGCAAAATAAAATATTTTACATTTAACCTGCTGAATGAATTTTAGCATAAGCTGCTCGACTTAATCCAACGCCATGATGAATCTTATCTAAAAGAAATAAAGAATCATTCGGATTTCGATTCAAAAATGGTCCAATGATAGATGAGGAGGTTGCTTCAATTGGTTCGTACATTGTTGGTCCGATTCCACCCAAGTAAGGACCAACTATCATTCCATGATTCAGAAATCCACTACATGGGTTGAAAAGTTCTATTTGCCGCTGTTGTCGATGGTGTTGTTGTAGTAACTGAGTATATAAGTTAAACTGTGCTTGAATTGGAGCCGATAACAACTTTGTATTCAATTCATTCATATCCTCAAACTGTTTAGTATCATCGACTAAACCATTCTTGTTCATTAACTTTGTTGAGGACTTCCGTCGAACTAGTTGCATCTTTTTCTTTCTGGGAACAGCAGCAACTGATCGAGACTCCGAAGGAGTGATTGATTCCCTATAGCAGAAAAACAAAGATTCAACACATAGAATAGAAGCTGAAATCACGTATCAATTAATACAAACTGCATGCGGTAATCTGAGTAAACATGTAAGTTACTGGCATCCATATTCGCTATTTCTTCACGCTAAAAAGACATACTTTCCACTTTATTTCCAGTGTTAGGTATTTGGGAAATTTTGGTTTAGATAAAGTCATGTTGTAAATCTGCAGACTGTAGATGTGAATGAGGAAATGTATTCAACTACAAACAACAAAATTTCAAACAAAATGATTAAAACAATCAAGACAACTGACGAAATTCAATTTTCTTGTTAGCTTACATACCACTCCATAGGTCGAGAAGACTTAGAAAGACTGTCAGTGTCATGATCATCTTTTTAATTGTTTGTAGATCTGATATCGTAAAATTCTCTCCATCCACAGAAATAATACTAAGTATGCGTTTATATCACAAATCTGTGTCGCGAAGAAACTTGGATAAAAGCAAAGACGATAAGTGATTGTTCAATGTAGTAAACTTGTTGAATTTATGTCAAAATTCGTGGAACACTGTATTCACTGGGTGAATATCAAAACAAACCATCATTTTTTGTGAATTCCTACAATCGAAAAAATCAGAGCTTGATCTCTTACACTACGACAAGCATTAGTCTAGCGCGACATGTAAACAACTCAACAACGTCAGCTGTAAAACTGCTTAAATCTCAATGTATTATTATGAACAAAAACTAAGCCGCTGGTCTTTTGCTACAGAAATTTATGCTGTCTTTAGTAGGAACAAGTTAACAATAAAGTTTGTGCATGAAAACAAACATCAAAATAGCGAATGAATAAACACAGAAAGTTCGTGTTAATTGATCGTTTGACTGAATTATATTCCCGTTCGTATTCTGAATCACTTGTGTACATTAAAACTAACAAATAAGGAGATATTATCCTTATTAAATTAGGATCTATGATTCAATCCATTTGCTTTCAAGGTGGTTGAATTCATCTAAATAAAGCTCAAAACTCAGGCATCATGTTCATTAAAATTCATCCAATACTGCACTCAAGATCATGAACATGCTTAAACCACCTGACCACCGGTTTCTCAACTGTGAAAATTCTGCTATGAATTTATCTGTTTCAAGACTTGCCGTAGCCAACTGATGTACGGAATAAACATATTTATGTGGCTGGGTATTACTCAATAAGATTATATGTGCTTGTCTGTATGTGTAATATGATAAATAAAAATATATATCTCAATGTTATGATTATCTTATAAACATTTTAAGCAAAAGCAATATAATGACAAAATAGAAGCCAAAAAACAAATATAAATTAGTATCAGAAGGGGTGTTGTGGAGATTGGAGTAATTTCAATAGTTGGGATCATGAGTTAATTGAAGCTAGACCACCATGGAAAACCTGGAAGCACTGAACGGCCGTTTCGTCCTATCGTGAGACTCCTCAACAGTGCGCATCCACGACCCCGCCTCGCGGAATTCGAATCCGTGACCCATCAGTCTCGCTCGCGAGCGCTTAACCACTAGACCACTGAGCCGGCATCCAACGGTGTTGGTTAGGCACTCGCTTGTGAGACTGATGGGTCCCGGATTCGAATCCCGAGAGGCAAGGTCATGGATGAGCACTGCTGAAGAGTCCCACAATAGGACGAAACGGCCATTCACTGCTTTCAGGTTTTCCATCGTGGTCTAGCTTCAATCGACTCATGATCTCAACTATTGAAAAATAAATTAATTGGAGCTAAACAAATTCTCAATGGTGAAAGAAGTATTATCAAGAGTTTTATAACCATAAGACTATATAGACAAAAAAACACTGACATTTACTACATGTATTCGATTTTACGAAGTACCTTAACATTCTTTTGAATGTACAAATCCGATTCGTTACTACTCAACTCAAACAAATTTTACGACTATTGAACCACGATTGATTTACATTATCATCATATCATATGGTTTTCTATCTACATGAAAATTGTATCGAACCCATTGACTGCGGTAATCAAAGTGATAATAGGTTATTGAATCATATTAGTATAGAAATGATCTTTCAGCTGAATAAACGTGAGTTGGACGATTTTACAATAGGCTGTAATAATGCGATTTTAAATGCTTCACTTTTCATGAATTCAACTATGAAAGCTAGTTGGATTCCATTAGAAAGAGATAAATTAAGAACGTGATTCAGTCAGCTAGACACAATCAAGTTAGAGCCTGATACAAATGCATATTCCATTAAGTTATCACACCACATCGGCACGTTGAGATCAAATTAGCTAGATGAATAGCAGATGAGACTGAACAGTGTAGTTGCAATCATGGTGAGAACAATTGAATATTGAGAATATGGTTCAAGAATGACAAATGAGAATGCGTGCATCAGAAAATACTTGAATTCCAAATCTATGGAGGATTAGAAGTGAATACAACTGTGCAACAGTACACGGCTGTAACACAATTTGTCCAACGTCTCCAACCACTAAGTGCGGTTTCTAAGTGGACCTAAACCAAATAGCACACATCTTTCAATACGTCTTAGACCAGTAGTCAATAACTTCACACACTAATTTTATGACATGATGTGGCAGCCATTAGCTTTCTTCCAAACTGATTCTTCACTAGCAAATATCATACGTTGGGGTAGGTGCTGAAAATACTGAAACTAATGACCACTGTACGTAATAAACATTAAAATATCAGGTGGATATTTACCAATCACTGTTAAACTGTAAAGTCTATGCATTTTTAAACTCGTTAGTGTAGAAATGTCGGTTATCACACGACTTCAAGATTCGTTACGCAACTCCTCTCTCAGGCACATGTTCATTTATCAAGTGAGACGATTTAATCAGTAAAATACAGTGAAGTCAATTTTATTTTGATGTTCAATAATTAAAATCAGTCAGACAGCAAATGGCGAATTCAAGATATCTTTATATTCATCATTCGTTAAAAACTTTGATGCTTGAAATCGCATTACTTATAGTCACATTCAGAGTAATTTTCCTCTAAGCTTTTAGGCTATAACTGACATTTATCATCATAAAACATCTCACACACATTGTAACCGAACGGACATCACACTGAGAACCGTTGAAAACTAAGGTAACCAGACAATGATTTCGTTTTATCAGGATTGTTTGTCCACAAAACTCAAAAGTCCCAAAGTAAACTTTGTTGTCAACCCCACTACAGCCGTCATACAGACATAAAAGCTTCAACTGTGTTTTAGATGGTGGTTGGAGGTAGTCCAACCACTATCTAAATCTCAATACATAGTGCCCGCAGTGTCGAGTCACCTAGACTGGTGGCCACATTGCAACATGATTGATAGAATTCGATCTGCAATAATAAGGATTAGACAAGCATGACATTGATCACCACCCAGTGATCAATCAATTGTGGCTTTAACTGTGTAGTAAGTTCCGTTGTCCTTGATTTCAAAATCTCTAGCCAACATCGAGGAAAAGTTTATCACCAAATACTTTTGAATTGAAAAACTATACCACTGGTGAGTGATTGAGGTCTTAAATAGTCTTCAGGTACCAGATAACGTCTAACATTACGTTCTACTCCAAAACAACGAATAAAATCCGTCACGTGGGTTGCGAACATATGAAAGAAATGAATTTTCTCAATACATCTTGAATAACAGATCGCAATCATAATGACAAGCAATAAACCAAAGTGAAAAATATCCCACACAACATATATTTATCTAGTTTGTTCAAACTAAAATGTTCTTACCTTCCTGAAAACTGATGTCCCATTTCTGGAATGTAATAAGCTGGTACGGGCAGCCTTGTTACAAGGGCAGAATCTTCAGCAATAGCGTTCTCACTCTTAAAAAATCAAAAAGATAGATGTCAAAAATAGCCCCATCGATTTCATTAAATATTGTTTGATAAACTAAAACAAAGCATATCATAATAGTTTTAAATAATGATAAATTGTTTCTTCCTGATTCATGTAAAACGTTACATATTGAATGCAAAGTAATTTCATTCCTCCTGATAGCTAACAGAAAATCTAATTTTCAAATTAGAAATCAGTAATGTAGGCTTGAAGATATGGGATATTCGATTTCCTTTTGCAATATACATTGCATTTTATGCTTTAGACATTCTGATTCAATACTTTTATTCACTAACATAGTTCCTACATACATTGATTGTTGGTACTTGTGAAGTTTAGAACTAAATGACTTGTTTTTCAACTACAGATTCATAGGAAGGAGAGGTCGTCTGATAGTGAATGGGACTGTTTTTTGAAAGACCATCGTTAGTTTTCATGACGTCAATCTTGCAAATAACTTATTAGGAGAAACACATTTCGTGAATACGTATATACACATATTAGTTTAGAATATATTTCCTGTAAAATGTGAACTGGTGTCAGAGTTCTAATTCCAGAAAATAATTGTCACAGCACAACTGATATTAACCTCCAATAATCCCATTGGCTCAACTCGGGTAAAATTCTGATTTTTAACTTCAACAGAACTTCCAAAAAATGACAAGGCTGAAGTCATAGTGTCAGCAGTATAGATCTATATTACAATGAAGAGGCTTTGAGTAAACAGATCTTTCCCGCCCACACCCTACAAAAGACTGTTTAGTCGTTCTGTGAATTAACTTAATTTGGGAAACAGCTATCTCCAAAGAATCGTAATAACAATTTGCAGTTTTTTGAAGTAAAAGTAAAAAGCAGACTGACCACTTTTACACACTTTAAATAAATTTCATGAGGTCTCTCAGCAAGTTTCATTCATCATTATTTAATCTGAAAACCATCCAGTTTGCTGAAAATTACCAACCAGATGAAAGTATACTAGTGACAATAAGGGACTTTAAAATCAACAACAACATTTCTGTGATAAAGGTAACACTTCAATTTAAACTCAAGATGCCCAACCACGAATTTCTGGCAAATAAACTTGAGTTATTATAATACTTTAAACATAGCACTTTTACCACTGCATTTTGGATTCCAGCAGATACTGTGCAATTCAAAGTTAATTCCATTGTTGAACGAACATTATTCGTGAAACATAAACCTCCATCTGGACATACTGTTTTCAGCAAACATTTTGCATAATCGTCAGCACCTGAAATCTGTACCTTATTTGTATTGTTAGATAATGATGGTGACGATGAAAGGCCGATATTTGAATCATTTGCTATACTTGGTCGCACACTGCCTTGAAGTGGTAAATTTAAATTTACTGAGTTATTTCCGACATTATTCAACATTTTCATGTTATCTTCAAGTGGATATATCGCCCATCGTACTATACAATGAAACGTTTTTGGTGTCGGTGAATTTATCTGAATGTAAATCAAAAAAGGGGGATTATGTTTCGAATTCATTCACAATATTAGTCAGTAGTCTGAAAATCAACACGACATTTTCTCCCAACTTCATTCGAATTGTTATCATACAGACCAAATTTTTTTGAGATTGCATGATTTTATTTGTTTTGTTTAATCACAGAGCTTGAATTACATCACAAATTTATAACATAAACATTCTTCATTAACCAAGACTGTCCTAATATACGTAACATATGAACACTAGACATCTTTCGAAAATCACAGTGACTTATAGAACACTCAAACTGAGGTAAGCAATATACTTACACAAATTTGTAAACAAAAAATTTATTAATAAAATTATCAGTATCCATAGGTAAATATAACTGAAAGCCTAAAAGATTTCCAAGTACTTCTCATTTGAACAACACAATTCAGTCAATTAATCTGAAATAATTATGAACAGTCTAGTCAGAATACAAAACTAGTCATTAAGAACATATTCAAGACGATCTGCTAGCAATTAGATTACAACTAATTAGTAATCAGCCAATTAGGAACACATCATTTACTGGAAATAATCAATAGCTTTTCCAAATGGAAGGTAAATTAGCATGAATAAGTAGAGATGTACTTTGAAGTTCAGACTATTTGATACATTGATACAAAATACAACTGCCAATCAGGAGCCAAATCCTCAGGAATTCCGTTTTCAAATCCTGACCCTCTTTATCTTCATTCGACATAGCAGAGTAATGTATCTTAATTTGTGAAAATATTTTGTAACCTTAGATAAACATTTTTCAGCTAACTATTTGAACTCAAACGCTATATTCATGTGGTTCCATTAAAATTACTTCCCATTTTGACAAAATTCCCATGTGGTAGAGCCAAAAATACATAAATTCGGCATTTTAGACCTCATGCTTATTTGGAAAAAGGACTGCTTGTCTAAGTAACTTGGATATTTCCAACGCTCATTAGTTGATTTTCGGATCAGCAACACTGGTGATATTTCGTGCGAAGCAGTCCTTCTGTGAATAATTAAACTGGCTTCTAAACTGTTGATTGCAGTTTAAAGTAACAATTCGCCAACACAGATGTAAGCATCCATGTAGTCTCTTCAGTTATAAAAATGTTATGAAAATACTCCTTCTTCAATAACTATGATTAGTGATACATTATAGTAAAGGAAGGTAGAATTCGAACTGACATTAGTTTACTCTTCTGTCAATTCACTTTGACATTATGGTTCCTGCTTTTGTGGAGAACTGCAACCAGCGATGATTGATGAAAGTCAGCTTCTTTTAACTTAAAAATATGGCAAAAAGGCTGAATTTGATTTTACACTGTTGATTCGAAACCCTACAGAATCTTCAAGAAATGGCTGATTTATTTCTCTATTTAGTTAATTAAAAGGAGAAATAGGTGGACGAATTCTTCAATATTTACCACAAAAAGCTAAGATAATCCCCCACACAATTGTTGATATTTTTATTCCGAGAACATAGTATCACACTATGCATATATGTAATAATTTGGTACATATTTTTTGTGTGAAATATTTTTTCAAACTACTGCTACATATCAGAAGTTATTGTCATGTTAATTGTGAGCAGAATGAAACAATGGACGAATTTAAAAAAGTGCTTATCGCTTTCTATAATACTCGATTATTTACTTAGACGAACTCTGAATATTTTTCTTGAACTATCAACAGCAGTTGCCTATCAACACTGTGTAGAACCCAACCACTTAACAAAAGCTTTTTTGACAAATTATATTGTAGACAGTTTCGGTTTTATATTAACCATTAACTACTTGGACAACTAAGAGTTAAATATAGAACCAAACAATGCAAAATCATTTTAATAATAGATCAGATACCCCTTTTCCGGTAGTATTCTACGGTAAAGTTTTGCAAAATTAGATTAGATGAAAACTTCAACATATTAAGTGGTTTCATCACAATATAAAGTTGAGGATGTAACGTCAACACAATTGCAAACTATAAAGTCTTAAATCAAATTCAGTATTTGTTGATGAATCCATTATAATTAATTTTAGGCGGAAAAGTACTCAACAGTTTACTAAAATAGGTTCAGTACAACTTGTTCTTAGTCGTATTCCAAGAAAATAATCCCGTTTGTATTTTTGCGAGATACTACCACCTATTTTCGTAACACCGCATTATTCAGAAGACGGTTTTCATAGGATGTTAAGTAATTTGTAATTTTGCAATTTTTAGATTTATTCATGATAACCATAAATATCAGATTTTTGTGCAAATAGCTGTGTACCTTGTATTAAAGTTTATGTCACCGTGATTACCAAACTACCCTTGGTTTTTCGCTAGATTTATTTAAAAGTGTTGTTTGAAAACAACTGGTTTGTTCACAATTTGTTACCACAACACATGCATTCAGATGAAATATACTGGTAGATTTTTATACATTAGTTCATAAGCTTAGAGAACAGCTAATAAGAAAGTTGAATACCTACATAAGCCCGTGTATCAAACATAATCGCCTTAGTTAAATTATCAAGTGACCACTGCTGCAGTAATATTCCTGCTAGTTTCCGAGCTATTAAGGTTCAACTAAAGTTCACACATCAGAAGGCTCCCATATCAGATTAATGAAATCAATGGTCTAATTGATATGTTTTATGACGCTGATGAGAGCATTAAGTTAGACTGATAGTGCATATTTTCATGTTAGTACCATTTTGAGTGTTTGTACTATCCAATATGACTGAAATATGTGTGTTATGTCATGTAACAGGGACACGATTAAAAAAAGGTTACCTCAGATAAAACATATTCCAGTACAAACACAACTGCGCACTCAGGGTTCTGTGGCACAATCAATTCTGCATCATTGCGTGCGATGAGGTATTCTTTAGACGATGACTCAGACCTAACACTGGAAGACGAGATCCCTACTGTTTTACCAGCTAGAGTTGCTGATGGTTTTCTCCCTGAAGACAATTCCCTCTCCGACTCAATGACTGTGTCCAAGTAAATTACCGGTTCAGGTTGAACGACAGTATAACGATTGTGTAGGAAAGTCTAGAAAATTAAAAACGACAACAGTAAATACCAGTGAGAATCCTGGTATTCAGTGGTAAATGCCAGCATCAAATCATTTTATCTTAGCTTTTTATTAGTAAAATAAAGGCGCAATACCGATTCATTTCAGCAGCAAATTTAAACTATCTAAAAGTAAGGCAGACCCTAAGATCGTGCACTGATTTTTGAATTAGTCTTTCGGTTACATTTTTTTGTATTTTAGAGATATCCGGTTTGTATTTCTAGACAGAAAAATTCAAAGTCATGCCACAAGCTTTGTCTGTCGTTAGCCATTGTGAAAAGTCCTCACCGTTATATTTGTTTGTTTCAATGACTAATTATCTTGTAATGAAATGAACACAATACTGGATGTTCATAAACATATAAATGTTCCACTTCCAATCTAAACAAACATTACTAATAAACCTGGTGCAATTAAAATGTTACTTAAAAAAGCATAAATGAACTCAGCTCCAAATACGAGAAAAGCAATTTATGTCGCATAGTAAAATTTCTAATGTGTTTGTTTCTTACAGAGAATTAGAATAATATAATGGTCGAAATAATAGCAATAATGATAACAACCTTAACTCTTCTCTCGTAAACTTGCAGCCTGACTGGTGAAGATACCCCATGTTGATTAAAAGCGACAGCTAGGTCATCCGAAACCGTTGAACACAAATAATTTTCAAAATCTGCTATCTGGGAAGAATTACTCGTAATTGAGATATCTTTGACGAAAATTTTAACGAAACTCCCAACATTCAAGGTATCCAAATCTTTATTTGCATTTATCCCAGGGATGCAACTCAGTGCGGAAACAAATCTGTTTGCAGGGATCAAGTATGAACAGTTATCTAGTTCTTTGAATATACCCAGTGAATAATAAATACAGTGATTGTTGTTAGTCGCCAGAGATGTATTGTATGCTGTGAAAACGTTTTATATGATTAAAAAAACTTGAGCTACCCTCAGGTGGAAGGCACAATACACGGCAAGATCCTTTTAGGAAAGGCGAACTATATGAAGATGATATGGATGAGCTTCGTATAGTTTCATGAACATTGACTGAACACCATCCAATTTCTGACTTATCAGTTGATTTCGAAAAGTTGCATTTTGTTAGCACAAATACAAATAATATGGACTTGAGAAGCTCCGATGAGCGGAAATAAAGCGTCTCAAAATAAAATTCAATTCTAAGAAAACCATTTACTTGTCTCACATGAAATCTCACACATCCATCCTTCTTGTTTTCTTTCTTCAGCTTTCCAAAGTCCCACATGTTACTTAACACCGTTTTGCTGGAATTGTCGAAGGCGAAAACAAACAAATTGTATTCTATATCACACGTATCCTGAAAAGTTATTCAAAATCTGTATATTTTAAAGTAAGCAAACGTTTTCAGTGAAATAACATTCAAGATGCTTAATTTCTAGTCGTAAATTTTCTCCGCAATTTTGTCCAGACTTATTTGCCAAATTCGGTAAGTGGAAGGGAACCCATGATGTTGTCATCCTGTTACTGTGGACGCTGGACATTTGAAAAAGGACAACACCTTCAGCACCATCCGATATCCAATATCTTCGAAATCTATGACGCCAGCTTACGTAAACTGATTCATTTCTTTGAGCTCACTTTTTGTTGACCAGGCACGGTACAATGATTTGGAAGCGTTTAATAGATGGTAATCTAGCCACTTGGCTGTACTAATTGTGATCAGTTTTGGAAGGACAAGTGGATGAGTGGCCTGTGCTAGTTCTTTCATTAGTGGTCTCTTAGTTATCTCTCAGCTACCACATGGTAGTGAGCAGTGGTTTTCAAGTCTTGGCCCACGATAAACTCCAAGTCATTGTATGAATGGACTACAGGTGACTCACTGTGGTTCGCCGTTTATGTGTCCGTATCTTGGTAACCGATATGCATCATCATGCACTCGAAGACATTTATCGACAACTGCCAGGTTTGAGAACATTCAGACAATTACTCCAGGTCATTTTGAAGCCCTAAACGGTCATCCCTACTTTTTACCGTTCTTTATATCTTGGCGTCGTCAGCAAGTAAAAAAACCGATGATGACGGAATATCACTAGCCCCAAAACTGTATCCTAAGGTATTTCACTGAGCACATTTACTAACCTACATAACTTTGAGTTCAACCTTATTCTTTGTTGACGCCCAACTAGGACTTTTTTGCTTCCGTTGACAGGTTTTTACCAGTATTTAGGAAACTTAACTTAGACAACAGCCGGTTGGAACGAACTTCATCAAAAGCCTACATCTATGTGTAACTTTTAACCTTTGAAAGCGCATAAACTTTAACAGGTTACTAATAAGTCAGTGATTCATGAATGACCTGTTCTTAAGTCATGATGCTTTACAGAATGAATTCAGTTTTCATCGAGATACTTAAACAACTCTTCTAACTAGTCTTTTCTAAAATTTTAACTACTACTTTGGTTAGACTTACAGATTGATAGCTTTTGGGTTTGTGTCTCGTGCCTGTATTGAAGATAAGATTTACTGTGGCAGCCTTCCAGAATTCTGGTATTCGACCCTTAGTTAAGATAGATTAAAACCTACACTGATGGGATTCGCGACAAAATCTGCTAACTTCTTTGGTAACCTAGAATGCAGGTCATCGAGTTCCATGAGTTAGCTTAAGTCACGCTCATTTAGCAAACCAAAGTCAACGGTTTCTTTGATGGTCACAGTTTCCAGATTGCGTGTGCTAGGGTGTTTATGGACTGTAGTGGATAACATCTCTACGATGTATACATTGCTAAAGTAGTTTGTTAATATCTGCGAATATCCTCCTCTAGTAATGCAGTACTACTGACTCCCCCATAATGCCCAAATATTTTCCCCTCTCTTAGTCTTTTGATTTATGTTCAAGCATAAGAGTTTGGGGTATCCTATTGACTTTTTAACAAGTTTTTCTTTGTACAAACTTATGCACTTGCAGAGGGTCGCAGCACAAATATTTCGGGCTTCCCGATATTTAAGTTTTGTCTCGTCAGTACCCAGCAACCTAAATCTCTCCGATATCCTTTTCGTCTTGCGGAGAAGGGTGCGAATCTCTTTACCGAACAACAGTGGTTAGTTTCTAGGATCTCTTGACAGAGTTCAATAGATGTGCAGTGCAATGGCATTTGTGTATGAATATCTGAATACATCCCGAGCTGGTTAAACGAGGAGATTCTGGTTCTATTATCTGATCTATTAAGGATACCGGGTGTATAATATCTTGTACATTTGTTTTCCAGACGTTTGGTTTGACACAACCTCTTTACGTGGAAATCAGAGATTAAAACGTCATGGTCACTTTTACTGAGGAGAGGCATATAATGTTGGCTTGTGACGTCATTCTCATAATATGCCAACATGAGATCTGGTAAGGATGATTTAGAGTCTCGGTCGTACCTAGTTGCTTCTTTCATATGTCGCACTATGACACATGTTACATATGCATCGACTCGCTTCTGTCCCGAAGAATATCTTGACAACTCAGTCCACGATATTTCCAGTCTGCCGTAGGTGTATTTAAAGGCTCCTAAGACTAAACATAGACCATTTAATGACCAAGTGTTGAGGCGGTATTGCAATACATCATTTACCTCACAGTTAATACTGAGGTAGACGGAACCAATCAGCGGCTCTTGTCCTTGGTATTTCAAGAACCAACTAATTGATTGGCATTTCCCACTTTCGTTGGGCATATTATTCCTAATGAATAAAGCTACTCCTCCTTCACGTTTCTAAGTTTGAACAGGTTTGTGCTGCACCCGATTCGGTTTCGGTATCATTGTCGCAACGTCATCAAGAGGAAATTTATAATCTTCAGATCCTTTTTGTCAGCAATCAACATCGGTGTCAGTCATTTTTCAGATTTTCATCTTCGTGTACACTTTTCGAGCGGAATGTTTCTACAGACAAATTCTTTAACCTCTTTATTTTATGTCCATTATGTAGTGTCAAGTCCCTTTCATCGAGAGATCCAAATGCCAAAGTCGGCAGCTTGCTTTGATTCAGATTTGTGTAGTAAGGACAGAATGCCTGCGGCCTATGCTATTCAACTTCTAATATACTACTGTGAGTGTCTCGTCTTCACTCAAATGAGTCAATTGAAGGTGAGGACATCACTACTTCATGTAACAGCTTTTAAGAATTGATGACTTGGTGTGAAAACATATATATTAAGGTTATTTTGTTCGTTCTCGGCTTTTATACTCGCCTGCTATGCCCTCTGAGATGTTTTGATCACGTGGGAAGAAAAAAAGAGAAAATGTCAGGTCCAAAATCGTTTATCAGTATTCTATACATCAATATCAGATCACCTCTTGGTCTGCAATAGGACAGAGTAAAGAGGTCTAGCTTTTCAAGACGCTCTTTGCATGGTAAACCCTTCAGTTCTGGAGTTGTACGGGTAGCTGCCGTCGTACTTTTTCCAGGATATCCGAGTCACCCTTGGCGCATTTTAAGCTCAGTCCTTACCAAGGTTGTGTATACTGTAGTGAACATGGCACTGTCTAACATGGTGAATGTCCATATCCAAGCTCACTGGGTTCTGAACTCTTCAGCCGCAGCCTACTGGCAGTGGGCCGTGATCTTAAGATCATGACTTACTGTAACCTCAAGATCCTTGTGAGACTAAACCACGGATACATGCACTTTCCTTACACTGTAATTATTTACCTTTTTATCCTCAAAGTGCATGTGGAAACACTTGGAATCTGAAGGTCTTATTCTGAGCCTCGACACCAGATTACAAAATGCTAAACTATCCTATATATCACTTGAAATTACTAGCCAGCTTAAACCGAGCGCTTCTCATCATATCAATAGCTTTTGAAATAAATATTTACACCCCTTTATTTCTGAATTCTGATTTGACTGTGTTGGTGTTCTCGACATCTTCAGGTTAATGAGATCTTCACTTTTTGGCCTTGTGAGAGTATAATCCCTCCCAAGAGACATTAGGTGTTGAAAAATTTGTATTCGTTGGTCGTGCCAATATTTCGTTTTCTGACCTCAATGCCGCCATATTATGACATATTATCCGGCGGTATCGTGTAAGATCTGAAGCTTGAATTCAGAGTCGTGATCTGGGTCAAGAGACTGGTAAATTCCAACAACAATGTGAAAACGTCTATTGTTATAACCATTGTTTAGATAGTCGTAATTGACATCGTCACAGTATTGCTGTATCAGTGAATGAATTTGTTGCAATTGTTAAGTAATCGGGTTTCTTTGGTATCGTTAGTCCATTAGCTCTGGTCTGACAGTTGGGGATCTTCATTTACACTGTATTTGATTATCTATGAAGACGTTTACATTCCAACTGCGGCAAACGTACTAGTTTACAGTTTTAAGCTTAATCATAGATCTATAGGAGCATTTTCCGTTAACTTGTATTAAACGTGATTGCCTGATCTGAGAAAATATTCTGTTGCTTAAAATTTTGATGCTTTGCATGTTTCTTCACGTCAAGTGAGATATGTGGCTTTCGACAAGCGAACACGATGATCCATAGATAACCTCAATCCACCTTTGTCTGCAGAGCAGAACATTTTGTTTACTCACGACTCCTTATGTTCTAACGGAATGCAAATAAACAGCAATACCGATGTTACTTCTCTACCCTAAATACCACCTTAAATCAGGTTAGTAAATGTGAATTGATTTAACTTACTACAAAGATTATTGCTGTGTTTTAGTTTAAGAAAAATACCATTTGTAGGAATCGGACGTTCAGCGAGCTTCTCCATTTGATATTCAAATAAATGAATTCAACTCACAATTAAATAGAGTTAATTTTTAAGCCAACGCGCTTTTTATGGAATACAAGAATCCCGTTTTCTCATCTGTTTTTTTGTCTTTGTTTGCTCATCTGTATTTTCTGTTACAACTTCAGATCGTCATTGAAGATTACAACATCGAACGTCACTCCTCACGTGAAATATGATGCGTTTAAGATATAATGTCCTTTCAGGAGCGCTACTGAGTAAGCCTTGTCCCATATTTAAACTTTGGAAAGTTGAATTCTCAGTTGTTATTAGGCCATCTATGTAGAGATTTCCTCTATAGAGAACTTTTCATGCCACATTTTCCGGAAGTAGAGGAGGAGAAATTATTGAGCGTGGGAAATGCACAGTGATATTCTTAAGGAAATATGATCGGGTTTTTATCCAGGTATAACTGAGTATGATCTGGCCACAGGTCCTCACCATTCAGATAAAAATGACCATCTACCGTCCGACCACATTATTTTCATACATAACAATAAAAACCATTCCTAGTAAAGAAGCAAGAACGAAATCATTGCTAAGCTAAATTTATATTTAATTTTAAATCAAATAAAAGGTTGTTTGGAAAACTAGACACCAGTTGATTCAAATGTGTCTTACGCTCATTTCATTAGGATCAATTCTGAAACAACCAAACAAAATTGTGTTAGATGAGTTCGATAACGAGGAACGAAGGGTGAATTAAAAAGCAACGTGGTCGGCCAACTGCA